CATTGGCTGCTTGCTTTTAAAACTAAACTCCGGATTTCTTTCGCTGGTTGTGTATCTCCTTATTCTCCTTCAAAAGGTTTTAGGCCCTTATGATCTATTCGAGTACTCGAAAATTAATTTCTACTATATTCTCATCGGGAAAAAAAGGCGTCTTTAATGATTTCCAATTATTGACACCTAAATTGAGGAAAATGTTATCCCGTCATCTTGTTCTAATTATTATGTGCAAAGTATTTTTGTGGATAAACTTATTATGGTACGGTCGAATAAATATTGTTGACAAATATTTGTATCATCATCATCCTCATTCTAGCCCTACCCCAACTATCTGGGATCGGTTACACAAATCTTGTTCTGCCATTCCGTGTTATCAAAAATCATTTCTTTAGTCAGACCATAAGTCACCAGATCTATTGTCATTGATACCAACCATGTCTTTTTGAGCCCTTCCCTTCCCCTTGTAGAGTCTTCCACTTGAATGAAATTGGCCTTCTTAACTTAGTTGTTCTAGGTCGATGCTGCACATGAATAGCCCACTTAAGTGTACTTTCCCTCATCTTATTATCTATTGAAACCACCTCTAAGTTTCGTCATATGTACTCATTTTGAATTTTAATTTTTTTTGTCTTGCCACTCATCTATCTCAACATCCTTATCTCAACTATACTCATTTTATGGATATGTTGTTTCTTTACTGACCAACATTACGTCCCACAAATATGATTGGTCTTATAGCAGTTTTATAAAACTTTTCCTTTAGTTTTACTGCGGCGATCACATAAAATTCTGGAAGTACATCTCCAATTTGTTGACCCAACTTTAATGCTATGTGCGACATCTTCCTCAATCTCTCCATTCTTATGGATTATGGACCTTAGATATCAAAATAATCAATTTTAGGTGCTTCTTGGCCATGATAAATGTTTGTGTAGCATTCATAAATTGTTTCGGCGAGTTTATTCACTAATTATAGTCTATTATGAGGAGCTCATATTCGATTTAAATGATGCTATATTCTCTTTGGTATCTGCTAACTAGAAACCCTTTAAAACTCATAAAAAATAACTTCACAATGATATTAACTAATTTTTTTTTAAATATGATAAAAAAAACAAATATTCAATGATTATAATGCGAAGTGAATATCTCAACATTCCCACTAGGATGAAATTTTAATAAAAGAACCAGGTATTATCGACCAAAACTGGGGATTATCACATTATTTACGACGATGTTGTCTTTGTTCTCAATGCAGCAAAGTTTTTAGGGGTCCGTTCTCCTATACCATACACGTGGCGAAAGATCAACCCTTCACTGCAACGCTATGGGGTGAACTTCGCGATCGGAGGGACGGGAGTGTTCACTACATTGAACGCAATGGCCAATATGACCGTCCAAATTGACTCCTTTGAGCGGCTGTTAAGGCAGGGAGTCATCTGCCAAAACGATCTGGACCGTTCAGTTGCCCTTGTCTCACTGGCTGGCAACGACTATTCTGCATACTTGGAACGTAATGGCTCAGCAGAGGTATTGCATAGTAGGGCTCAAGTTTTTTTGGGGGAAATTTTGGATACTACTTGTTATATTTTTTTCCTTAAATTGTCCATAGCTACTGCCTAGGTTTTAGGGAAGTTTGGTCTTTACTAGTGTTATCAAAATTGGATCGGCTACTGAATTTATTAGATGTTTAGTCCAATCAAAATTAGTGAGATTGTCGACTGAAACAAAATAAAAAAAAGTTAAAGATAAATTAAAAATATTAATATATGTTAAAGGAAAAAATTATTATTTCTCTAGTGTATAGAAGGTATATACTTCCCCCATCCAGTCATCCAATTTAGTTCAAGTGAACCACTGACAGTTTTATCTAGGTCCTATACATTAGAGTATTTTGTTTTTATTTTTAATAAATTATATCAATATCAAATTTGGTGCATGCCATCATCTCAATCGGACACACCTAAAAAAGAAAAAATATTAATTTAGTTTTTTTCATAAAATACAGTAACCAAAATACCCTTAAATCTTTAAGGCCATTTTGATTTTTTTATTTTATTGAGAATATTTTTTTATATTTTTTACAAGTGCGAGTTTACGAGAGAAGCAGACACCCGAAATTTGGTGTGAAATTTTTTTTTAGAAGAAAACTTAAATATAAGATAGTATAGAGGCGTGACATTGTGACTGAAGCCATCTCAGCCGTTCATTCAAAATGGATGGTTGGATTGGAGGAAGTATATAAGTTTTATATAGTAGGAAAAATATAGAAAGCTTGTCCTATGTTAAAAGAGGTTTCTGACCTTCTTTAACCTATCCAATTGGTCAAAAGTAGTATTTTAGCAAAAACAAAACCTCTCGAAAATTGGTTTTGAGCAGTTCTCTAATAAACTCTTGAGTTTTTCTTAGGACCAAACCAGCCCTGTCACTGGTTGGTGGTTTGACTGCAGCGAATGGGTCTTGATAACATGCGATGCAACAAGTTGAAGCTTTAAAATTGATATTCTTTAGGTTAGGTGTTTACACATTCAATTATATGATATCGTAGTTTATATTGTTGAATACTAGACTTTGTGATCTCCACTTATCTTTCTTTTTTTTTGGTTTCCTTTTCTTTTTTGATGTTATGTGTAGGGCTTACAACCATTTATCATTGCGGTTGTGAAACAATTGTCCCTGAACCTACAACGTCTCCAAGGTTTAGGAGTGAAGAAAATCGCAGTTACAACCATGGAACCTTTGGGTTGTTTACCTAGTAGCACACAAGTTCTTTCATATAAGCAGTGCAATGAGACCCAAAATGCAGCTACAAGTTTTCATAACTTACTCTTGGAGCAAGAAGTTCAAAACCTCAACAAAGAGGCCAACAACTCTTCAAATATAGTTATCTTCGACCTCTTCAACTCTTTCAATTCTGTTCTAAAGACCCCAAGTGGCCAAGGTATATGAGTACTTTTTTATATATATATATATATATTATAAACTAGGGTTTTAACACAGTCTGGCGTATCAGGATTCATAATAACTAACATGGTCAAAGCCTGGCATACTAGGATTCAAAATAACTAACATGGTCAAATCAACAAAATTTTCAGCAATATTGTTGATTTGTGAAGGTCATTTCACTCAAGTGCTTCTTCACCTGTTTTGTTCAAAATATCAAAATATGCCCTTGTGTTGAATTTCATATCAAGAATGTTTATCTTCGTATTTTGACTCAAGTGTCCTCGTAAGCGAGAGATGGGTATTTTTCATTAAATTGTCTTTTTTTAAATGTGAATTTTGAACAAATATGGGTATTTAAGTCATTTCGTTCAACTTAAGTGGATCAGCAAAACGAATGCATTACTATCACTCATTCAAAGCTTCAAACCCAAAACATGTGTGTTTGTAGTAAAGATGCATTGTTTTGGGTTTAGAAACTTGATATTATGCAGAACCATTTTCATAATTTTGCCCCACTTTTGTCATGGGCCGAGTTACCAAAATTCCACCCATGTTTAGGATTGCAAACCCAAAACATGGTCATTTTTAGCTATACGTAACAAAATATGTAGGAAGGTTCTTGAGTGATCACTTTGTTGATATTGGTTTATTTAAATGATGTAGTGATTTCTTGAGGAAGTTTAACCACTTTAATGATATATGATAATTTTACGAGAATAGTCACCGCTAAACATATTTTTTTTGCAAGGCGGATCAGAATAGGAGTTAATTTCCTTCGCATCCACATTACCATCTTAGATCACTGGCATGCTTATTTTGGAAAATACATCGTAAATTATCTTATTTTATTACCAAAATAAAAAAGTAGTCTTGAACATTTTATTTTGGAAAATACATCTGTAAATTATCCTATTTTATTACCAAAATAAAAAAGTAGTCTTGAACATTTTATATTTTATGCTTAAGTCTCACTTTCCGAGAGAGTATAGTATATTTTAATTTTATTTTATTTCTGTACATCATATTTCGCTCAAAGTTGGGGAGTTCATTCTTCACTCTCTCACATTTATAAAATTACTGATTTCTTTAAAGTACATAAAATAACAAAAACAACTTTAAAATTTTAAAATTTGTGAGGGTATTTTGATATTTTTATTTAACTAAATTGTATATTGTTTTAGTTTTTCCGCACGTATGTTATGGTCAGAAGCATGTGTGCCAAAAGTTTGAGGTTGGTTGGATATAAAAAAATAACAAAATGAAAATACAATATTCACTATAAAGTGTGGGACTTAGGTGTAAAATATATAACATACGGGACTATTTTTAAATTTGAAAATGAGAAATAATTGTTTGTTAATTACCCTTTCAGAGCTGTTTTATACTTTTTAGATTAGGAAAATGATTTATTGGTGCATGTGACCAAATTGTAAATATAATCACTGCTGCTAGAACACCTAGACGGAGCTTTCTAAAGCCAAACCTCTCAGTTCATTTTTATTCATATCTAAAAGAAATTTAAAAGAGAAAATGTTTCATTCTGAGATTGACTCTGCATGGTCCCTTAGATTGATGATCATTTCTAGGGCTTGAAATATTTATTTGTTTATTTTTTATGTTGAAATTGATCACAAGATGAATCAAAAGATGATTTTTAAGTATTTGGAGCATAAAGCCCTAATCGTGGTACAAAATGTACAATTTGGTCCATGGGATTGCCCCTGATAGATTTCTTTCCCTGATACTTCTACTACCTACTATGGGTTTGATCATGGTGTTGAAATAGGTCTTTCTTTTGCAGGGAAGTTCGTTGATAGTTTAAGGCCTTGTTGCGACGGTTTTACAGTTACAGATAGGTGTGGAAGCATCGACAAGAGCGGCCGCGCTACATACAACATATGCAGTAATCCAGAGACAACATTCTTTTGGGATTCTGTGCACCCTACTCAGTCTGCATGGGCTGCGATTGTCTCATACCTTCGTCCTTCAGTAGAAGCCTTGGCATCTTGATCCATCTGAAATTTCATTACATTGTATAACATTGTCATTTACATGTCATTTTCTTTATTTGTGAAATATGATTTTGATAGGTGATTAGCTAGTACAATAATAGACATTGGATCTTTAAGGGACAGGAATGATGTGTTTTCAGTTGGGTTTATGAGAGCTTGTATGAGCATTTTATATAGTGAAACATAAATATGATTTGTTGATACTCGGATTAAGTTCGACATGCTAAGCTAGTCGAGTTTGAAAAAATTCAAAATACTTGAGCATATAGATCTACCAACAATGGTTTAGTGGATTAGCTCTTGATGAGGTTGGGGTATACCCAGATGAGAGCCGACGGATTGGGTGGTTCTTGCGTGTGAAGAATAGCCTTTCGAGATATGGTTCAAAATATTGTTGTTATATCATCATATGGTATGTATATAGATAGCTGTATTGAGATTCACTTATAAGGGTGAAGCGTGTAAATGTGTGAGAGAATACCTCGATGTATCATGAAGTCATGGTTGCATCATGGTCTGGAGGATCATAATTTTTTGTCTCTAGGCGAGAACTTAAAATCTATAAATTTGGATTGCATCATCTAGTCTATTGATTGACTTTGGTGGTCCAATCATGAGTCCTGCAGTAGATTGTGGATCAAGGGGAATGCTGAGTCAGTTTGAAAAAGTTAGGTGTATCGTGGTCTGCATTTGAAGGTGGACTGCTCCCTTATATTGATAAATTCCTAGATTTAACGGATCTAATTTCCATCAAAATTAATTAGTTTTAATTAATTTTATGTTATATGATTTCTAGAATGTTTATTTGAATTTTTGTGAATATTTTAATATTTTATTTTTATCATTTGAATTAATAAATTAAAAAAAATTAAATTTTCAATGTTTTAAATAAAATATAAAACTTAAAAATTTTAAATACAAAATAAAATATTTTTTAAAATTATATAAGCCCCCAATAAATATGAGTTAATTTAAAAAATGTGGGATTGGGTGTACAGATTTGTACCCCCTATAACTTTCTCAAATCTTTTTTAGTTCACCTCTTTATTAATTTAGGGAAAGATGATATTGAGCTCAATATTTTCATTTTGCAGTCAATTATATTTTTAGTATTGGGACTATAGATTTATTAAACTCCAAAATATCGTATTGATTTTCTTTTACACCATGCCAAATTTGATTTGAGGGCCTTAGGGCATCAAATGCGTGTCCACCGGTACAAACTCCCTCCAACCATTAACTGGAAGACTTTTCTAGCACATTGCTACAAGTCTAAGTGAAAAAGGTTCCATAACTTTCTCTCTCCAAAAAAAAATGCCTCTTCTCTCCTTTCCTCTACATCTCTACTCACGGTCCTATGGACGATCTTAAATGATGATTATGAGAGAGAGATGGAGAGAGATTTTTCTCGTCAAATTTGGTTGTGTTAGGTAGGCAGTCAACATAAAATTTTATCTAAATTTATTATGAATCCTTAAGGCTAAAAAATAGTGAAAGGTAACCTCAAAGGTTATGGTTGGAAGTAGTGAAAAAAAATACGCGGTCTTACTGCTTAAAAGTAAAGCCTTAATAAAGCAAAATGACAAACATGGAGTCGTACCACTTACCTCAATTAATTGGAAAACAACTTTGACGAGTGAGGATGATGCAAGGTGATTGAAAAAGATACAGAGGCGTACTAAAATATAAATCTAAGAAATAATAAATTACAACCCGAGGTGGTTTTCAAATATGGAGTTGAAAGGTAGTAAGGAAAGATTTAATTCAAAATATTGAAATGACTATTACTAGAGTTTGGGGCCTTTGCAGAACTTTGGACTTTTTAAAACCCTATAATAACCTTAAAGACAGGTGATTGTACCTCGGACAACATATATTCTACATGGTCTTTCATAAACGTAAAATATTTTTGAATGGTTTTTGGACGCCCCTTTTATAACGAACTTATTCTATTTATGTTTAACATAAGTAAGGTTGCAACTTTATTATATTATAGAAGTAAGTAAGGTGCACTTCAAAACTCCAATAGAAAAGAGTTTTTGATGTTGAAAATCTTTCAAATTGATCATCTTAATTCGAGATATGAGAATATAAAAAAAAGAAGAATTACAAGTCCTAAAAATAATGTATCTTGTAGTAAGTTACGTGGACCATCTATTTTCAAGTTTATATAAATATGTTCGATTTGTAGCATTTTTAGAATTTTAAATTTCATAATTAAAGTTGAACATAGATTTTTTACCCTTATGTCAAGTTATAGTTTAGCATCAAGAAGTTATTTTTTTTTTTTGGGTGGGGAAATGCTGCCTAGAGCTTTGGGCGTCTCCTTCACCATTTGCCACGCTATGAAAGGGAAAGAAGATTAATTATTTGATTGTGTTTGAATTTTGGGCCATTATCTAGTAATTGAAAAAGAAAGTATACAAAGAGATCAATTAGACTTCTCCTAAACAATCAAATTAGAGCTTACATCAAAAATTTCACTAGAATAGGTTGTTTTGATGCCCAAATGCCTTTAAATTGATCATCTCGACATCAAGATGCATGGATATAAGAAAAAAATGGATGATCATCTCGACATCAAGATGCATGGACATGAGAAAAAATGGATGATCATCTCGACATCAAGATGCATTGGCACGAGAAAAAAATGGATTTCAAGTTTCGGAAATAATTTATTTTGTAACGTATTTTTGGACCATCAATTTTCAAGATTTTCAAGTTTTCATTGATCTCTTTATCTACACTATTTTTGAAGCTTTAAACTTTATAAATAATGATGAATATATATAAGTTCAAGATAGAGAGAGTTGTGAATGATGGATTTATTAATTTTGTTGTCTATTTTTTGAAAAACGTTACTTTTGTAGGACAAATTTGTAAATATTACTACAATCCATAGGGTATTTTTGTCATCTCCATAAGTGGTAAAATTGAAATTTTAACTAAAGGACAATGACATCTACAAATAAAGTTTCAGGATACTAATTTTCAAAATTGTACTTTTGTGAAAATTTCAAATTTCAAATTTACCCTTGCTTAATGGTAAAGTTACATATTTAAATAATTTTTTAATAAAAAAATAATGATTATTTTGATAAATATACCCATCACAACCCCTTATAACTTGAACCTTTGTATT